TGGCATGCATTCTTTACTATCATATCATTCAGAGGAGATGTTTATTCTTTTGTCAACCATTATTCAGTGTATAGCGTTAACATAATGGCTTTTAGTGCCATAAATACTTTCTCTGGGTCACGTCTCACTATGAAAAAGGGGTTGGAGCAACTATATACTGAGAACTGATAAAATCTATGGGAAGAGCTGAATACAATGTTCATGCTAGAGGAGAACCTTTGTTTTCCAGTCCTGGGTTTGAATGTTTCGCTGTCCGTCCACTGTATTGTCAAAAAATAAACTTACTATTACACATTAAATATTGTTATTTGTACTGTGTCACTAAAATGTAGAAATAATTTAGTGAAATAATAAAAGTTGTTGTGGTGAATGTGTCAGCAATATGTTACCTATACAAACCCAGCTGACAGTGAGTAATAAAAGCATTCATTTGGAGTCATATCATAGCCACCTGGTGAATGTAAGTCTCCTTGTAACTCTATTTAAACTCAATTCAATTCCTGAGGGAAATATCTGGCTCTATTGCTGCTAAATGCTTCCCTATATACTCCAGCTAGTGTCGGACTTTGTCTGTCTGCCAGTTGGTGCCTAGTGGGTAGTGCACAGCAGCTATATCAGAGCTTTTTAGCTAAAAAACAAGAAAAAGCTGGAAGTAATGGAGATAAGACTGAACCAAAACAGTAAAGTTGTGGGCTGTTAAACCAAAACAACGAGCTGAAAGACACTAAAAATGCTCCAAAGAACAATTTCAGATGAATGGTTATTATCATCATTTTTTCCAAAAATGCCACTTATGTACATCATACAGAGCAGAACACATGCACTGTGCAGTATTGTCACATGTCAAATGAAAGCTAAAGGTTCAAAGTCTCTATTCAAAGTTATTTGCCTTGGAGTTGTGCAGAGCAGCCTATTAAACATGCATTTAGCGTGTACAGCATTTACCATTTAAATATAACATAATTACGTTTATGGTAAAATACCATCTCTTATGCCTCCTCCAATCAAATGTCTACTGTGTTTCTTTGTTCCCTTGCTCTCGTTCTCAAATGAAATCTGGCTGTAACCATGAATTTAGAGAGAGGCTGTCCAATACAAAACCCAAAGAAGAGTTACATCAACATTAGGCTAAATGGTTGCCTTGGGATTATAGTTGGAGTTTGTGGACATTATTGTGTATGTGGCCCCCTGCTGTCTTATGCCAGATGTGCCTTTCTCTCCTTCTCACCTCAGAATGCCTTCTGGTAATGCATTTGATCTGAGGCGGCTTGGGGTAATTTAGAAGCATGATGAATGACGCATGTGGAAAATATAGGTAAATGATCTTCAACATTATTATTCAGTGTTATTTTAGCAGTAGGGGGTGATGGAGAGACTGTATGAGAGACAAAAGCTGATCTACATGTAAGTGCTTTCATGTATAGTGTGTGTACCCTGTACGCATGTCTCCATCCTACATGTGTTACACCACCCTCTTGTAATGCTCTCCTCTCTCCCACTGTGCACTTTGATTTTCCTTTTTTTTTTTCATGTTTTACCACATATATTGATGTGTTTGCTAGTGTCTGGATGCACCTGGCCCAACAGCAGGGGAGCATTCACATCCTAGCATGTTCGCTGTGGTTCATAACAGTTCATAATGGAGGAGGCACGACACAGAACACTGCTGAGGTTAGAATTTTACCATATGGGGTGAGGAGAGGGAATGAGCAACCATATGGATCAACTGGGCAAGGTCTCTGTGAGTGAAAAATACAACACAAGTGGGAACCTTTTTTGGCAGCTGGGTTAAGATTTGGCTGAAGAAAGTCAGATCAAGCTGTCTGAATGTCCTTACCAATATTTTACTAAATAATATAAATATATAAAGTGAGTCTTTTTTTTTTTTTTTGCATTTAAATCACATTCAGACTTTTTAACAGTTACAAGCTACTGTTATCAGTGCCCCTTTGTGCAGCTGAGATCTGTGAGTCTTGTTCTTTCCTAGTGTTACAACAGTATTAAATGGTTTTGGAAGGCACAGACAAATGATGTCATCCTGCAAATAGGAGTGTCAGTTCACAAAACGCATGTGTCGTTCTAAAAGGTCATGGGCAAACGACATATTTTGTTGTTCAATTTGGAGGACTTGTTGTCCGTAGTGGTGGCTATGTCTTCCTGGAGTGTGTAGCAGTGGGCGATTGTTTTTGTTAATCATATTTTCTTCTGTTTATTATAGCTAGGAAGGTTAAGTTATTATAATGTATTATATTTCATTTAATTAGGTTTAATTAGGATTTATTTTGTTTGTTATGTTGGTCTTCTATTTATTATCACATTGTAAATAAACACATCAGGTGTTAAACTTCTAATTTGGCTGCTTGGATCTAAGGAAGGACTGGTCTTTTTCATGCTGCGTCTTGGCCCCCTAGATGAGGCACAACACTATTTTTATCCGCTATCGTGTGGATATTGCCTCAGTCATAGGGGCCTGTTTTATAGCAGTCATTTTGACTGTAAACCACGGGTGTTACTAATAAAATTAACAATGTGTCCCAGTAAGTCATGACAGTGTGACGGAGAGCCAGCATGCACAATACCACAACCCTGAAACTGAGCAGCTAAAGGGAATTTACACCTGTGCTATGATCCGACATTGGCAGGGTTGGACGAATAAAAAAAATAAAAAATTGTTAATTCAGTCTGTACAAATCAAGTTTAAATTGGTGCTGACAAATCACATAGCATAACGAAAAGAATTGAATTGGATTAGAGATTAAATAGAATGATATTAAACCAACTAACTCTCATTCCTTTAATCTTTAATCATTACATGTACTGTGTTTTTATTTTGGATGACTCTGAATATTTGAAACCTTGTCAGTAAAACCATATTCATGTTATTTGTAGAATTGTGAGTCAAAAAATATAAATTCCAAAGAGACAAAAGGAGGGTTTCCTGTTACTCTGCAACTTCGCAGTTAATTCAAACATTTCAAAATTCATCTCTTAAATGATTATTCAAGTGTACTTCTAACTTTCAAACTTTCACCAAAGAAAGAAAGAAGAAAAAATGCATGCATCCACAATGTTCCTCCTCCCCTGGGGTTCATTAGTAGGAATGGAATTCAGTGACCCAGAAACTAAACCTAGCCCAAATCAATTAGCAGACATACACATGCATACATTTGAGCTGCTAATTACAAAGCCAAACTCCACCTCACAGGGAGGGGTTTCCTCTTTGAAGATGATCCAAACTGTGAAAAGGCAAAATGTTTTGTAAATACAGTATTTCTGTTGGCTTCAACTTAACAATACTGAGCTAATGTGAGCCAGTAGAATATTTTCAGCTTGATTGTGAGAGGCAACTTTGACTGTCTGCTGTATTAATGTGGATCCCTTAATATCTGACATTCAATTATAACTGAAAATGTGTCACTGCATGCATGCCAACTCTAGATTTTACTAAGATAAAACATTTATTACTATTTATATAATATTATCTAATAATTCACTCAGCCTGGTGTCTTTTTATGTTCGTTTTTTTGTACATTATAACATTTTCTATAACTAATATTTTATTGATTTTGCCCATGTATAAGAGACAAACAAACAAAGTAAAAAAGGATAAAGTAATAATAATAATAATATATATATATATAAAAATAGATCAAAAACAATAACAATGGCTCCAATCTAAGAGTCCCAGTGAGCCAGTGAGCCAGCATGACACAATATCAGGACCCTGAAACTGAAGCAGCTAAATGGAATTCAGCCATCATTGATTTCATTATTTATATCAGTGATTTTACTCCTGTAACATGTCAATAGGTCTGCTTTGAAAAAGGACTATCGCCACTATTTTTCAAAAGTGGTACCTTTTATTTTTGACATTTGAGCAGGCTAAAATGTATTAGAACCACAGCTATACTAAAGCTCTCCTAATCAATATTTTTCATTAACCGTGGATCAAAAGGCTAAGTATAATTTAAAATCCAACTCTGCAGTTCTCCTCAGTTCTACAGAGCATTTTAGCATCTTTTGGCTCATTGTTTTAGAGAGCCAATCAGAGCTGAACAGAGTGAATATTACATTCATCAGGTGGCCAGAAACATGACTCCAAATGAATGCTAATGTCGCTTTGTGCCTGGCAGATGTGTAGCCAATTGGTAAGTGTATGCTAACAAATTCACCATAACAACTTTGTAAGGTGATAATACATTCGTGTTGTTGTTTTCAGCTTGTTCCACTTACCTAAGGGGCCAAAAAAGGTCATTAATGCAGCTTTAATCATTTTGAGTGCAGGACTGCTACTTTTAATAAAGTATCTGGTACCAGTGGTTGGAAGTAACTAAGTACTGTACTGTCTGAGTTACTTGTACTTTTACTACTTTTACATATTTATACTTCTATTCCACCACATTTTCATATATGTATTGTGTTAGAAATTGTATATAAGTACTATTTCTTTTTTGTTGAACAACTCTAACGAACAAAGGGGGAACCCTGGGGATTAATAAAGTATTTCTGATTCTGATGAATATATTTATATTTTAATACAGTAAACTAAACCACCCGACAGTATAATAAACTAAATTAAATTAGCTCGATTGCAGTCAGCTACAATATTAAAATGCATATTACTGCATCAATAATAATGAAAACATATTAATGTAACAAAGACAGAGGCTACTTTTAATCCTTAAAAAAATGTTACTTAATAACACTGAACGTAGGCCTTCTGTTATATTATATAATATATCAATAACATATGTTCTCCACTCACTATGCAGTATAATTACTAATAAAATAAAGTTTGTTTTCCATCAGTGCAGAAGCAGCAGTTTCCCACTAGATGAATTCAGATCACTGCCACTTTTCACCAGGGATCTTTTGTTGTTTGAGCAGTGGCAGTGTAACTGAGAGTGAGCACAATAATCTCATATCACTCTTTCACTCTTTCACTCCAGCAGTGAAGTGCAGGGAGTACTTCCCCTTTAAGAAAGTGACAGTACCGAGCGGTGGAGGAGCTGGTCAGGAACTGGTCAGGAGCGGACGGCAGTGAAGGAATCTCAAAAAAAAAAAAAAAAACTTTTCCAACACACATCGCCCTGCTCCTTTTTTCTTTTTCTTTTTTTAATACTATTTTAAGTCTCCTTCGGCTCGTCTACGAATGTGCAAATAGCTACGCTGCCTTGCCGTGTGTGTCGGTGATGAAATGGATGCTACAGCCCGCTTGGAAGAAGGAAACTTGCGAGAGGAAAAACTTCTGGGATGATGCCCGAGCCGACTGCATCCCTCCCTCCAAAGTTCAGCTAAGGTGGCTAACATTAGCTAGCAGCGCAGGACTCAGCAGCGCTCGCTAACTCCGGAGTGAAACAAACTTTATCCCCCCCCCTCCCCTCCCTCCTCTCCCTCCCTCCCGTTCATCTACCATAACAAGTAGTAACAAAGCACCCTCGGGGTAGCGAAGACGATGAAGATATCTCACGCTTGTGGCAACGCGTCCATCATTGGCGTGTTATGTGTTTAGCTCGACTCCAGGTTACAGTTTCAGGCTAATGGTCTCTGTAGCCAAGTGGGAGCTCCGCTATTGTGTCGTGAGAAGTTCACCAGAGAGTTTGTGTTGACTCTCACTGAGGCATGACACACAACTTACATTGTCGTTTACAAGAAAGCACGGAACTCCCATTGTGAAAAAGACTGCTGTGAAGTTTATACGTGGACCAACTTGATTAGTTTCGACACCCTTTGAATGCTACGTGGAGAGATGAGGGGAAAAAAAGGGGGAAGTGATTAACTTTGGTGACCATAGCATGAGCAAAGTAATGCCGGAGCTGGATGTACTCACTCATATCATTATTATCACATTTGATAGTTTTAATAAGGAGCTCTGTGGACTGGACCACTTTGACAAGCTGTGCTTTTGATCCACTTCTCTCACCTTTGTTGTTGTTGTTGTTGTTGTTGTTATATCTGTTTGGACACATCTCTGCCTGTTTATCAAGGCTTTCTGGTGGTCATTGGGTTGTTTTTAAAGCTTCATCATTACCATTGTTCATCATCACCCACACTCTTGGATGAGAGTGCTATAATGAAGGTGACTGTGACATTTGGGCAGACAGGTGTGGTGGTGCCCTGCAAGGATGGGTGGACTGTCAGGGACCTCATCCAGCAAGCCACGCAGAGATACAGAAAACTCCTGGAACAGGTAAAAAAAAAGTCACCTTTCTTTACTTATTAAAGTTACCACTTATCACAATGAGCCTCTAGGGAGAATAGGCAGTGTTGAGACATAGAACTGTAGAAGATAGAGCTGCTCCAAATCCATGCAAAGGTGTTTATTATTATGGAAATATGCAAAAAAATAATTTAAATATGTGACAAAGCAGAATTATAATGAAGGACTGTATTTCTGAAGAGATGCCATAGACTACACGTCTTGTTCTCCAGATTTAATAAAACATGTTTGTTTGATACATACACCCCCAAAAATGATCACATCATCATGACCTTAATAGTGTTTTCAGTAACATTTATTTTGTGATGCACAAATGATAATTCCCACACTAAACATTTGTCAAAATAATCGCAATATGATGTTTTTACCATATTGCGAAGCCCTAATTATTTCATATTAGTGATTTGAAAAAGCATTTTTCTCAACGTATAACCTACAGTAAGTTGTTTATGAAGGATATGCAACCTTAAAATGCAAACCAGCATGCTGGATGTTTGAATAATGTTGTTTTCCCAAGACATTTTTTTTAAAAAGAGAATGACACTTATCGTATTCAGCTAGGACCGGGTATTGCTTGAGATGTTTTGTGACTGGTACGAGTACAATACTGGATTTTTGGCACCAAAACAATACTAATAAAAAAGTTTTGACACTTGCTATTCAGAGCAGTACTGCAACTTGAAGGCAAGTCTGTGTTGACACTGTGGCAGGTACATTTCAAAATGTATTCACCTTGTATATCACGTTAGAAGGCAGTTATGAGGGATGTTTTTTCATTTCTGTGAGTGGAAATCATTGCAGTTGTAGAGCAGTGTTTCATTTTCATTCATACCAAATAGTCCAGTGTGCATGATCAAAAGCATGAACAAATGTAATTTTAGCTCTGTTTGAGGCTATTTGACCTCCGAGCCATCAGTTAGCTACATTATTCATTGTCAGAAGTAGTTTTGTAATAATGTCTAAAGATTTTTATGAACTCCTGAAAGACTTAGAAAAGAGACGAGATAACTTTTTATGAAACAGCACTTTCATAACATTTTGAGGTTTTCCCTCAAGCCATAAAAGAAGAATCGAAAGCTCTGTCATTTTTACACCATAAAAGGGCCATATGATTTTCACATCCCCAAGTCTTGGGAAATTAGACAAAGCCATGGAGGTCCAGTTCTCCATAATTGCCATATAAAAAATTAAAAGCATATCTGATATGAATTGTGATGGTGCTGACAGGAGCAGGCGCGAGTCGTTTCCACTTGAGTTGCGATTGAGTGTGCAAATGCAAATGACCGCCTCTGGTGATTTCTTTATGACTGCTGTTGATTCCCTGCACTGCTCTCAGGGCAGGGACCCAGTGACCCCCATCAGACGACCAAATCTTCTCAGTGACTCGCTTCATATTGGCTCCATTATTCAAAGAGCACACCAGTCATACAGATAGATGGCCTCAGTTGTGATTGAAGGAGAGATGTCGAAGCTGTGTGTGTGCGCGTGTGTGTGTTTGTGTTTATATGAGACAGACACCAAGACAGCACTTGGAGATGCACTTTTCCACCACCCTCTTTTTCTTCCTCTCGCTACCTCTTTGCCTCTTAATCTACTTTCATATACCTGTACATTAGCCCTCCCTCCTTGTGTTTTGGCCCTTTTCATCTCACAAGTACTTCGCCTCTTCACCTTCCACACAGCTCTCCACGCAGCTGGAACCCTCACTTCCCTTTCATTTGAACTCTTCTTCCTCTTTGAACAGTTCCTCCTTCACCTCCTGTTCTCCTTTATGAGGTAACTCTGTTCAGCCTAGACGTAGAGATCAATAGCATACATTTTAAATTTAAAGCAGTGTTTCCTCTATGTTGATTTTGGAGCGGCGGCCCGCCACTGTTAGATTTCTGCCACCACGGTATCAGAAATGGGGCAGACACACAATGTATTCCCGGTTGCCTTTGAAATGATCCTGCTGACATAATGCACCGTTGGCTGCTGCTCACATTGCAATTTAACAACAAGTAGAACTATTCAGAGGTTATTGGGGCTGTCCAGTTTAACTCCACACACTGTTGTGTTGATGTAGCTTATTGTGTTCGGACGGGCCTGCCCCCACTGCTAAAAAGAATCCTAGAGGAAACACTGTAAAGTCTCTAAACTAACAGTAACGTGGTATAGGCAGGAGCAAAGTGTACCGCTTTAGGTCCAGGTAAAATCTACTTGACTTAACTTCTCACTTTTTGTGTAAGGTAATATAAACATTCATGATATCGCAACTATATTGCATATTTTATAAAAAGGACAAACCAGTGAACATTTGTGGAAATGTTGTCCAAGCTTTAAGCTCCTGGGTGGGCGTTTCCAACCGCAGCTGTTGGCTGACATCTGAGGGCCTGCTTTTTCACAGCGGACATTTTGGTATGTTGTAGCAGGAAAAGCATTTCTTGCATGTAATTGATAATGTTAAAAACAAACTGCTTTCCATTTAGGTGAGCTAGTTCCAGTGTCCTAGTGTTGTGCATACTGGCTCACTGGCATGGCTAACTGGGACAAATTTCACAAATGGTGGCTCAGTTCCATCATTAGTGAAATTTGATCCAACTAGCTACCACTCAGAAAATGTAGCTGTTTCACAGCTGCCTTTTTTACCAAATAGTAGGGTAGACACAGGTGTAACCAGTAACACTAATGAAGGTTTTGTTCCATTCAGGTCAAACCTCAGGTCAAATTAAATAATGAATTCGTCATCATTGGTAACACCTGTGTTAACCCCACTATTTCATGTCAAAATGGCTGCTCTGAAAAAGGTCTATGGAAGCTATCTAGCTGTGATTACCACTAGATGTCACCTGCTGAGTCATCAACATCTCCTTCAGTGTTGTGATTGTCCCATATTTTACAAAAGAGGAGGAGTAGCTAGTGTTTCTTTCATGGGTCCAGTTGTGGAGACGGCCGATGACCGGACTGTATCCTCATTACTCCGCAAGCAACCTTGTTATTTGAGTCACGACAAATAACAATATAATAGCAGATAGGACTAAGTAATGCCCAACAAGTAACAATGTCAGCCTCCAAACTGGCTTCTGGAACTGAAGTGAATACCCAAGCCAGATATAACCCCAGTGAAACTGCCAGTACCGACATCATCACGCCCCCTGGATGACACTAATGTAGGGGACACAGAAAATTACATTTATTTATTTTATTTAAACACCAAGGAGACATATACTGATGTCTTAGGGAAATTCTTTTTTTTCAGTTTGACTTTAACTTTTATGGAAAAAAACGTGAAAAATGTTACTGCTCTTGTGTTAGACCTAAGATAAACTGCACTGCAACATGGTGTGTCAGTTTATCTTAGGCCCAACACAAGAGCAGTAACATTTTAGTTGTTATTAATGTTCACTGAGACACAGAGTGAGTGCTCCAGGTGTGTTTTCCTGCAGCTACGTGTGTGTAATGATGCACCTCCCCGCTCTATCGATTGGATCTCCAAGTGTTTAAATACTTTGTTTCCTGTGCGTGAATGAAACGCTTTGTTAAGCACATGCACACTGTGTTTGTTCTGGCCCGCTCTGCTTCGGCTCGTCTTCTTCTTTCTCCTCTCTGTGTCATCTGTTTTCTTTCTCTCTCCCACACCTTTGTCAGAACTGGCAGTTTCCCTTTGTAGTTTCTGTTTTTACTTCTCCTTCCGCTGTCATTCTTCCCACTTTTTAAAAGTTTTGGCCTCTTTCTCTTCTCCTTTGTTGTTGTTTGACATTTTAAATATTCGCCTTTTTTTTTTTTAACCTCCTTTGACTGCCTCCTTCTGACCCTCTATCTCCCTGTTCCCTCTCGTTCCTCCTCTCTGGGATGGAGAATAGGTATTCTCCGTAATTGCTTCATCTTACCCCCTCTTCTCCTTTTGTATTTGTTTTTGTGTATTTGTCTTGCCCTCTTCCCATCACTCAGTCATTTCCCTGCAACACTAATCTGTTGTAGCTGTGTAATTATGGCTGTTAATGTGTTCCAGGATTAGAAAGCCAGGATATGTGTGTGTGTTGTAGAGCGGTCCAGTCCCTAATCCTCCCTCCCAGTGCTGCAAATCATGTTTTTAAATTGTCACAGAGACAGCTCGCTTTCTCTCTGTCTCTCTCTCCCTCTTCCCCTCCCCCCATCTGCTTCATCCTACTGAGAAAGTATGCTGCTTGTATTAAAAACATTTTTTAATCTTGTGTGCTCTTGCGTACATCCACTGTAGCTAACTGACTCTTATCAGCTGCTGCTTTGTGAGGAGTTCCCACAGGGGTTCTTAAGAGGAGCTAACTCTTGGAATAGACATTAAAGCTACGTTTTAGTGAGGAGATCCTTGAGGTTTAGTCTTAAGTTGCGTTTCAGAGAGGATTTATTTTGCGTTTTAGTTGCACTGATTTATAGTTTTAGTTTCACATTGATCACAGCCTAATTATTAGAATTTTTTTTACCCCTTTGTGTTACCCAGTATGGAACCAAAGGGGGTTAAACGAGACAAGTGGAAGGTAGTAAGAGGGTGCTGATGTATTTGTATGTAGGATACACCAGACTTTTGTTATACTACTGCATAGGAAAGTCTCTTCCAAATATTGTAGACCCTCAGCTCATGTGAAGCTCTTTAGGTGGCCACAAGGTGGATAAATACACAAGGAATACACCCTAATTGTCCTTATATTGAAGGTATGCCTTGTTACCACAACTTGCAGACAATATATATTTATAGCTTATAAGACAGCTGAGACAGAGCACAATGGAATAAACTGTACAAAGAAATTGAATTTGGTTTGGTTTAATATAGCCAATAACAAGCTACTGAAGCATGCCTTGATATTTGGCTCCAGTGCAAACACTCAAAGTGGTTCAGGAGACCACTTTAATATACAGAATGCTAAGCTGAAGGTTGAAGGTCTACTGTTGAAGTGTGAAATGTCTTCATAGATAACTCAGTCATTAGCCTGTCACTCAGCAAGTGTGTCATT